GAGTATTCTATATGTCTATCAGTAGTGGTTTTCACTTATCTTCGCTACCAGTTTGGAACTGTGCGCGCGAGCTTTGCGCATGCACAGAGCATCCTTGATGGCATCCAGGTAGGTGGGCGGAGTCTCCCGCCACACTACCGGTTCGCCCGCCACTGATGTCTATGTACAATACATCTATCTATGCTACAGAATTATGTACAAGAATGTCAGCTTCAAGTTCATGAAGACAACATTTAAGAGATTTTGAAAGATCTATAAAATGATTATTTTCTTTCCATATATTTTAATATAATTTTCTTTTCTTCTTCTTTTCTGATAAATTTATAGTTGCAAAATCTAAATTTAGAGCTGAATTTTATGAAAACATCACCATACATTTATTTAAGGAATAAAAACATTTTGGATAAAGAATTGCTGTCTGTACAGCAACTTTCTTAATCTTGCATGGTTACATCTAAATAAAACAGCCAGAGGGACAGTTTGCTTGAGGGGGCAGTAATGAATGAAACATTTTTAATCTACTCTCGAAATATTGAGCAATTCTTCTAAAGATTCAGCCCACTTTAAGGAACTTCTGTGGTTATCCATTCGTGTGTGTGTGCGTGTGCTGAAAGCATTTCTGCTGGGATCAGTGCTGAAGTGAAGAGGAAATTATTATTCTGGATGTGTAAATGGTATGTGAGAATGACCCTTCGAAACAGAGGGAAGAGCTGTAGTCAGAGCAACAGTCAGATAAGAGGCAGCTTAGCCTTCAGCAGAAATGTGGCTATGGCAAACATCTCATAAGTATCTCCCCAATTTCTTGGGATGCAAAGTTGATGGAGAAGAGGTATACCTTCAGACCTGCAAGATTCTGTTAATGTAACCTTACAATAAAGTAGAATGAGTTCGTCTGGACTGCTACGTGTCTGGACTACCTCACAAGATTGACAGGATGGATATGCAAGTACAGTAGTTTTTTGGGGGGAGGGGAACCTTGAAAGGCATCACGAATTACATTAGCTCAAGAAAAGCATCTCTCCCTGAAGGGTTAAAGCAGCCAGATCTACTTGTACAGCTGCTTCAATGGCTGTGTCCAATTATCTACAGATAGATGAACATGCCCAGCTGCTTCAAGTAGCTGGTGATCCCAATGGAAGTGTTGTCTGTACAGAGCAGCCTTGTAAACTTTCCAAATGATGCCTCTGATTTAATGCTTGCTTCATTTATACTAACATACTTTATGTAATATCTTCTTCAAATGCTTTTCAAAGTGCTATCCAACTCTCTCAAAGAGTGCTGGGTCTTTGGGAGATTGCATTTACCTTGATGCTTTGAAGAAAGGATTCAGAAGGTCACTTGTGACAACAACACAATCAACTCATCCCTCTGGATAGGTTGCAGTGACCTAGCTACAAACACATTTGTATTTCCAGGAAAAATGCACCTGGACAGCGTCACAACGTAATTGGGAGACAAATATCAACAGTACAAAAAGATAAAATGAGTAATGTCTGATTACCAGCATTTTATTACCCTCAGGCATAATCAGTTTGATTCTAGTTCAAAGATCCTTTGTGTTCCCACAAATTCATTCTCCATTTCACACTGTTGAAGCTTCCAAATACCTTGCAAAATAGCAGAAACAGCTGAAGGTAATGAAAAATCCAGTGAATTCTAATACAAATGGAAACATCTGTGGAAACATAAGGTATTTCATAGATTACCAACCATAACTGCTATTTTTGTTAAAACATGTGCAAACATTTGTAGAATCAAATCATGTGTACTGCTTTTTTTGTTTTTGTGTGTGTATTGAAGACAAGGCACAACTGGCTGAGGTGTGGTGTCACAGAGGCATTGAGAAGGGTTTATATAATGTACATATATGTATGTATGTGTATGTAGGTCTTTGGTTATTCGGGTTTTCTCCCGCGTAAAATTGGAAGTGTCTTGGGAACGTTTTGTCATCTTCAGGCTGGTGTTTTCGGCTTCGTGCTTCTAGGAGCAATGTATATGTATACATACACATACAGACATACACACACACGTGTGTGTGTGTGTATGTGTATATATATCTATATGTGTATGTATATGTGTGTATGTGTGTGTTTATGTATATATAAAATAAATTAAGGCTGAAAATCTGATCTCAGAATCTTATTTCTTATTGTAATAAATCAGGAAAATCTATAGCAGCTGAGGCCTTTCAGAATTATTACAATGAACAATGAATTTATTGATATAATTGATGGTTAATCATGATTTAATTTTATCATTAGTGTATAGCAGTTCCTAATTAATTTGGTTAACACTCAATAGCTAAGAATTTAATTACTTGGGCTTCCTGGTCTTAACTTCATTTTAGAAATCTTGATCTTTTCAAAATTACATGTATAAAGAAATATTAGCACAAAGGAAAAAAAGCTGAGCCAATGAGTTATTTTTATTCTTCTACTCTTCTCTCAAAGTATGTTTTCTCTTCTAAATGGCTCCTTCCCCCAACTAAGACAAAATCTGTGGGATTTCATAGTCACAATAAACTTATTGACAATTTTAAGTTAAATAGAACCCAAATAAAACAAATGTACAAATTAACTAATGTTTCAGTGTTTTCAGAAAATATACACATAGTTCTCTGTATGAATGACCATTCATTCAGCAACCATTCAAATTTTAAAATAGCATTGAATGAATGATTGCTATGTCCAATCCTCAAAGTTAAAGCTGTTGCATCTGCTCCCATGGCCACATGATTAAAATTAAGCATTTGGCAGCCTGCCCACATTAAGAACCCTATTTGTACTTCAACTCTACCCACCCACCCGTCTACCCTTCATCTCTGTCCTCTGCATTCCACCACTTGCCCTGCCACTGTTCTGCTGTTCCCATTGCCCTGCACTGTGCCACCCAACCCACAGTTGCCCCTGCTGTCCTTCACCATCTTCTTCCTTCCATTGAAGACAAGGCACAATTGCTGATGCATGGTGCCACAAAGGCACTATGGGTAGCGGCTGCCTTGGATGGGTGTGCCTTAGCAGAGGAGGAATAAGATGGTGAAAACGGGACAGCAGTGGGGTATTAGGCAGCTAACAGAGGAGAGATGGAGGGGAGATAGGCAGGTGAGGTATGATGAGATGTGGTGAGAAGGTGGATCACATGCCAGAGGAGTAAAAGGCAACTAAACCCACAGATTATGTGTCAGAGAAAGAGACAGAACTTCCCTAATAGTTCACAGAATATATTGTAGATGCAGATAATCGTCTTCACCGTGGCAAGATTTTGGCTATATGTGTGGAACAATAAAGAACTCAGCTTGGAAGAATTGCCATGTGTTATTCTTGGTTTGGGGCATAACATGAAGTTTAGGCAGAGGCAAACACAGTAGGCAGGAGACACGTGAGGTCCTTGCCTAATGACAGGATGGTCCTGCTTCTGGGATTACCAGAATGGCCATTGCTAAGTAGTGTGGTCATGTGATGCTTCACCTAATGACCACTTCACTTAGCAATGGAAAATGTGTGTCCAATTACTAATTATGATCATTAAGCGAAGACTGCATATAGTTGCAACTGTTCTTTATTAAAATATATCTGGCAGGGGGCAAGGAAGCATATATCAAGGTAATTCTAATAACAATTAGGTAGCTGCTTCTTTCCAACACTTTTTGGCTATCTAAGTATGTGATCAAAGACTTTGATCTTTGTATTCTGCTACTTGCTTCTAGAGACTTTACTAGGTGATACTCTTTCTCAAAGAAACACTTACTTCATTCACAGATGGACAGAAAAATTTCTAGGGTCATAACATGTTTCAGATCCCAAAGATAATGAGGTGTTTTGAAATGTGTGGAGAAACAAAAAATCCTAGAAAAAGACTGCTTTCAAGTGTTGCAGATGTACCTTTTTGCCTTTGAATCCAGAATTCTGCATATACCTTCTAAGCAGCATAGCTCCTGGGCATGAAAATAGGAAGAACTACTGAATTTGGACCACTTTTTTCTGGAATATCCAATTTTATTAGGAGGGTTTAAGGTCCTCTATTTATTTCTGTTTCCCAACTGCAATTACCAATAATCTATGTGTACTTTGCACAATTAAAAAGATTTCTAAGATGGAGCGCATAGACCATATTTTGAATTCAGTGAACCTTTATCAGCTAGCTTCTTCCCCCCCCACACACCATTATTCTAAACCTAATTCTATTTCCCACATCTGAAAGATGCTTTAAAAAGAAAGCTGATATCTTCCAACTAATATATTTCTTAAATTGAAGATGAGACGGTTTCTTTGGAAATGCCTCTAATTGGAAAGGAAAGTAATTGGATCTGAAGTTCATTAATGGTAAATATCTTGCAGCAAGAAGGAAATTATATTGCTAAGTGAACATTATTAGAATGCAAGTACCTAGTGTTTGAAAGAAGAGTGTAATTTAAAACATTACATGAGATATGTCTAAGATAAAATCTAATTCAATATTACATGTAAATTTTCACAATCCAAGACTGAAAACTCCCAGAATTATAACTCCGTGGGAGTCATAATTCCAAAATATTTGGAAAGCACCACATTGGGGAATATTAGAATTGTTGAATTTAGCATCTACCGGTATATTTTCCATTTTTCTTTTTAACAAGCAAGGGAAAAGTCATTTCTACATGATTAATCAAGTACAAAATCCAAAAGATATGATGAAGAAAAATCAGTTCCCTGCCAGGGGCATCTGCAGAAATATTCAATCCATAAAAATATCAGCTGCAGGTATGGCTATCATCTTGAATTGTGGATATTATTGTGCCCTCCTCCAACATTTTGATCTTAAGAGGAGGAGAAGAAACTAAACATGGCTGAATTTCTGCTGACTTACTATATTCACTTATCATACACACAGCTTAACAAGGTATGTCTGAGCTACTACACTGAGCTTAGTTTATTTAACATGTTAGGCAAACCGAAGATAATACAGGTAGTCCCTGTTCTGCCCCAGCTACGGATCCCAAAGAATGTAGCACACACAAACTCCGAACAAAACTCAGTTTACTTCAAAACACAGTCTTTTGCAAATGCAGGCTGTTAATAAAACATTCTTAACAACCTGCCAAAAATTCCACAGATAAGATAGAGTCTTACTAGAGTTGGCAGAAAGCCCAGAAGCCAGGTTTACAGAGAAAATTCAAACTCAATGATCAGCGAATGAACGAACGAACACACGTTGTTTCCTGCAGCTTTTTACAAGCTGTGTACAAACTTAAATAGGCTAAGGGAGTGGCCAATTAGTCCCAAGCCTTACTCTCGAGGAGACCTCCTCCTGAGTAACCACTCCTGCCTTTTGGCAGCTCTGCGTGCCCGTGCATTGAGAAGAGGCTCCTCCACTTCATCCTCTTCACTTAAAGGAGCCTCTGGAGGTTCTGAAGGCCCTGGTTGAATCCCTGCCTCTGGCACTACATCTTCTTCAGCCTCCTCACTGTCCGACTCGAGTGCCGGATGCACAGGCTGCTGGCACAACACACCAGCCTCCTCTTCGTCGGGATCAGCAACAATCTGCGCAGGCCACTGGCGGGCCACAACATAACCATTCATTTACTTTGAAGTTACAATAGCACTGAAAAAACATGGCTTATGACCTCTTTCACACTTACCAACTGTTGCAACATCCCATAGTCACATGATCAAAATTCAGACATTTGGCAACTGACATCTATTTGTGATGGTTGCAGTGTCTCGGGGGTCATGTGATCACCTTTTGCCACTTTCTGACAAGCAAAGTCAATGGGGAAGCCAGACTCACTTAACAACTGCAGTGATTCACTTAACAGCTATGGTGAGAAAAGTTGTAAACTAGGGCAAAACTCACATAACAACTGTCTTGCTTAGTAATTGAAATTTTGGTTGCAAATGTGTGTGTGTGAGAGAGAGGGGTGTGAGGGAGGGAGAGAGGGAGAATGATATATGAAGGACAGCTTCTAAAACTTGGGTGGACCACACTTATTAAAAGCAATTTATTTTTCTTTTGGATTTCTCCATTCTTTTTTCTTTCATTGTGCTGTAGATGAGTGGATGGAACAGTTTCAGCAAAACAGGGTTGAAAGCATGGCTTATGGGCATGGCTTATGTTTACTGTTTTTTTCTTGAAAAAGAGTAGAATAATGACAATACTGCAATGAAATGGTTTAATGTCTTATTCTATTAGTAAGATCTTTGGGGAGAGACTCCAATATGTCAACTGTAAAAAAAAAGAAAGCAGGGGTTACAAGGAATCAATGGGCCATGAGCTGCCTTAAATCTGATTTATTTGTACATCTGTATGTCCAAAAAGCATTGGTTTGCAATGTTCCCTAGCATTTTTTATCATTTTCATATTGAAGTTATCCTGAATTATTAAATGCATATAACAGACCATTATTGTGATTTAACCTGACAGTACTTTTTAAAAATATTTGAAATGTAATTGTAAACATATGTATCCAGGAACATACTGGGATGTTTGATTAAGCACATTTACCACATTCATTAAAAAAAAAAAAGCAGATTACTATTAGGTACAGTATTTTTCGGAGTATAAAATGCACTCCCCCCCCCTAAAAGAAGCTGAAAATTTAAGTGCGTCTTATACTCCGAATGTAGCTTTTTCGAAGCTTTTTTTCAGCCCTAACGAGGCGCTAGCGATTGAAGCGATCTTCCGTGCTTTGCCTGCTCCCTCTGAGTCTCAGCTGTGCTTCAGAAGCTGTTTTTCAGCCCTAATGAGGCACTAGTAAGTGAAGGGATCTTCCAAGCTTCACCTGCTTTTCTCATTGCTTCTCTCTTCAAAGATTAGCTGTGCTTTAGAAGCTGTTTTTTATCGCCAAACAGGGGATAAAAAGCACGCATGCGCATGCGCTCAAAACCAGCAAACTAATGTGCTGAAGCTGACCAGACTAAGGATGCTAGCCAGATGAATACCTGTTAGGCAGATTTTTTTTTTCCTATTTTCCTCCCCAAAAACTAAGTGCGTCTTATACTCCAAAAAATATGGGTAATTAGATGTTTGTTTCTGTCCTGAACTCCTGTGACCTAATTTATGTAAAATGTATATTAAGATGTTTTTTATTTACTTTATTATAAATATGGCTGTGAGTTCTCAATGTATACTTTGGATACCTATCCATTTTCTACTACATTCCTTATCATTCCTTATCTTTTCTGAACTTTGAAGATGAAAGCTATCTTTTAGGTAGCCAAAATGAATGGCATTCTGGCAATGCAAAAAAGACTTCAAGGGCTTATGGAAACTTCAGTTTGTAGTCACACAAAAAAATTAAAAAGAGATGGCAGGGAAATAAAAAGAAAGCTGTCTGAACTTATTCATGACCATAAAACATTGACATCTGAAATATGGTTTGAATAACTTACTGTTTTTAAAAATCGTAATTATTTTAATTTGTTATATTTCCTCCGTTTATGTAGGAATGTATGTAGAAATTAATTATTTTCTGTTGAACTCCTTAAAAGGCACTTTTTTAATATATTTCCTCTTCTACTGAATAGTCTACTAACTATGGAATGGTATAGAATACGCTGTTTTGGTATGGATTGAATTAGGTTTATTGATAATAATCAGGATGGTTGGCTACATATTTTCCATTCATTCATCCGACACAACATGCTTCCACTGAGACAACTATTAATTTAATGATAAAAAAATAGCAAGGAGAAAACTGTTCACTGATTAGGCTACTGATGTTTAATTATTAGTAGCTAAAATCATATACTGGCTTCTAACCAAAGTTATGATTCTTACCAGTAATAGAGATTGTATTATTTGAAAGAGCAATATTGATCAGTGATATCTTTTCACCTTCTCATTTTCAATTCTGTCACAAACAGAAATTCATTCATCATTTCATAATAACAGCAGATTGAGATCTAAGATGTTGAGCAAGCAAATGAATCAGTTTTTAAAAAAATAATGTAGACAGAGAGGTATGGACAAGAAATGGTATGAAAAGCTTTGTACATACAATACTTCACAGGCTTCACTAAGACAAAGGTTAGACAAGATTTTACAAAACCTAATTACAGCTGACTAATTTAAAAGACTTAGGAGAGTTTCTCTCTGTGTGTAGTCAATTTTTCATTATATCTATTCCAATGAAATATTTAATTTAATATTTGGAACTATGAAAGGAGCATAATTCAGTTGCAACTTCCATCAGTTTCAACATATAAATATGTCTTGGGTTGAAATCAGTGATCCTTGAAATACCATGCTTAACAAAACTACTGCTTCTCCTGTTACTAGGTAAATTCATCAATCATCTGTATACAACTCAGATTTAGAATTGGCACTTAGAAAGATGTTGGCAATTTGCAGGTAATTCTTGACTTACAACAGTTCACTTGGTGACCGTTTGAAGTTATAACAACACTGAAAACAGTCACTTATAACCATTTTCCACATTTATGACCATTGCAGCAACCCCATGGTCACGCAATTTACATTCGGATGTTTAACAACTGATTCACATTTACGACGGCTGCAATGTCCCGGGGTCACGTGATCTGGTCCTATTAGATCTCTCAGCGGCTTTTGATACCATCATGCTGCACCGGCTGGAAGAGTTGGGGGTGGGAGGCACCGTGTTGCGGTGGTTCTCCTCCTTTCTCTCCGACCGGTCACAGTTTGTGTTGGCAGGGGGGCAGAGGTCGACCTCGAGGCCTCTCATTTGTGGAGTGCCGCAGGGATCGGTCCTCTCGCCCCTTCTGTTCAACATTTATGTGAAGCCGCTGGGCGAGATCATCCGTGGCTTTGGGGTGAGATACCACCAGTACGCTGATGACACCCAGCTGTACATTTCCACCCCAGGCCACCCCAACGATGCCCTTGAAGTGATGTCCCAGTGCCTGGAGGCTGTGCGGATCTGGATGGGGAGGAACAGGCTCAGGCTCAACCCTTCCAAGACTGAGTGGCTGTGGCTCCCGGCATCCCGATATAGTCAGTTGACTCCATCACTGACTATTGGGGGCGAGTCTTTGGCCCCCACTGAAAGGGCTCGCAATCTGGGAGTCCTCCTGGATAGGCAGCTGTCTTTGGAGGAACATCTGACAGCTGTTACCAGGGGGACCTTTTATCAGGTTCGCCTGATTCGCCAGTTGCGGCCCTTTCTTGATCGGGATTCCTTGTGCACAGTCACTCACGCCCTCGTCACCTCTCGCCTTGACTACTGCAACGCTCTCTACATGGGGCTCCCCTTGAAGAGCACCCGGAGGCTCCAGCTGGTCCAGAATGCAGCAGCGCGGGTAGTGATGGGAGCAACATGGCGCTCCCATGTAACACCGCTCCTGCGCGAGCTGCACTGGCTCCCGGTGGTCTTCCGGGTGCGCTTCAAGGTGTTGGTTATCACCTTTAAAGCGCTCCATGGCAAAGGGCCTAGCTATCTCCGAGACCGCCTGCTGCTACCGACGACCTCCCATCGACCCGTGCGCTCCCACAGAGAGGGCCTCCTCAGGGTGCCATCAGCCAAACAATGTAGGCTGGTGGCCCCCAGGGGGAGGGCCTTCTCTGTGGGGGCTCCCACCCTCTGGAATCAGTTGCCCCCGGAGATAAGAAGAATCCAGGACCTCAATGCCTTCCGTCGTTCCCTGAAAACCCATCTTTTTCAACAAGCCGGGTTGGCCTAAGAAGAAATTTTTAAAATTTTTAAATTCTTTTAATTAGTCTGTGATTCTTAACTTTCGGGCCAAAATTTATATATATTTTTAAATGTTTTAATATTTGTATCCTATGTTTTTTATCTTGGCTGTACACCACCCTGAGTCCTCAGGGAGAAGGGCGGTATATAAATTGGAAATTAAATTAAATTAAATTAAATTAAATCACCTTTTGCAACATTCTGACAAGCAAAGGCAATGGGGAAACCACATTCATTTAGCAACCGTATTACTAATTTAAGAACTGCAATGATTCATTTAACAAATGCGGCAAGAAAAATCATAGATGGGGTAAGACTCACTTAACAAATTTCTCACTTATCAACATAAATTTTGGGTTCAATTGTGGTCATAAATTGAGGACTATCTGTATTTCGCTTCCCAGTCATACTTGATTATACCTTAAAAGTAAACCAGGCTAAATTAATTAAACACAATGTAAGTAAAATAATGGGATTTATCTTAAAACACATTTTTTTGTTTGTATTTACATAGTGCCATTATTATTACAATAATAATAATAATAATAATAATAATAATAATAATAATAATAATAATAATAATAATAATAATAATAATAATAATAATAATAATATACCGCCCTTCTCCCGAAGGACTCGGGGCGGTGTACAGCCAGAATTAAAACATAAATATACAGATATCATGGTTAAAATTAATTAAAATCATTAAATAGTTTGGCCGAATTTTAAAACCCAAAATTAAAACCCAATGGATAGGTGGCTGGGTGGATTTTAAAAGAATCCACCTATCCAAAATATCAAGATGTTTAATTTTCTCTGAGCGGGTTTAAGAGTAAATAAATTTATAACTTGCAACTAAAAACTTAACAGATCTTCCTGTCTACAAGGGCTGTTTTTCATTCTCTCTTTTTTTTTTTTTAAATACTTTATTGAATTTTCCAATTTTTAAAAAGACAATGTACAATCACAATCTTGATCCGAGGTGCAATGTTTACACATTTCATAGATCAAACATTAAGTGAATTCCATCCATAGCTATACAATATACAGTTCTATACAATTCTCTACATTTCTATACAATTAAGTCCATTTCGGGTGTCTAACAAATCGTAGCCTATTATCATATTTTTATCCTATTCTTTAACCAGTTATACCAAATTCCCCATACTTCGTAGTACTTGAAGTTCTCTTCATTTTTTAGCTCGCTCGTCAATTTAGCCATCTCTGCGCACTCTAGAATTTTATTTATTAATGCTTCTTCAGAGGGGGTAGAGTTGGATTTCCAGAGTTTCGCAAAGGCTAATCTAGCTGCAGTAATAATTTGAATTGCCAGTTGGGTTTTATTGTTGTCGAGACCATCTTCAATCATACCTAGGAGGAAGGATTCCGGGGCCAGGGCTATCTCTTGTCCCATTATTTCCGAGAGCCAGAGTCGAATCTTTAACCAAAACTTTTTGGTCTCAGGGCAAGTCCACCACAGATGGTAAAAGGTGCCGACCGTCTTTCCACATTTCCAACATAAAGCAGAGGAGTTTGGAAATATTTTGGCCAGCCT